CTGTATAAGTGTACTGTACAACAAAACAATCAAAAGATGAAAAATAAATTAAATAATTGTACAAATAAAACAATAAGTAAATAAAAACAAATAAATAACTGAAAAAGCAGCAGTAGTGATAATGTTCAAGTTAGTGCAACATTCTCATCCTCCAAAAATTCCACACTTTAACAAACTGTTTTCTTTTCCCTCTAACAATATATGTAAGTCTTTCCAGTGCAAGGTATGTTGCAATCTCCTTCAACCACAACTTTACAGAGGGTAATTGTATATTTTTCCAGAAAAGAGCGATCAGTCTTCTAGCTTGAAGAAGCCCAAAATCAATCAACACTGATTGTTTAGAATTGACGACCAAATTTTCAGGGTATATACCCAGGATACAAAGTTTCGCTTGCAGGGGAACATTCTTACCCCCCCATCACACTCTGCCAAAATATATGTACTTTTGAGCATTACCAAACACAGTGGAACAGTGTTCCTTTTTCCTCTAAACACTTACAACAAATATCTACAATATTAGGATATACTTTGTTCAGCTTTACTGGGGTAATATAAGTTTGCATTAGCCATTTATATTGGAGCAATTTCAAACTTGTATTAATTGTATTTTGCTGTGCCTTTAAGCATGCCACTTGCCAGTCTTCTTCAGGTATATTCTCTCCAATATCGACTTTCCATGCTTCTAAGCTTCCAGCTTCCAGCGTCTTTGGATGATCCCTTTTCATAAGATACCAAATTCCCATAAAACAAAGATACTAGACCCCTTTTAGCCAGATTTGTGATGATTAAGTTTTCAGGATTTGTCAAAGGTGGCTCAGACATTAGATCTTTATTTATTGATGATATAAAATGTTTCAGTTGTAAATATTTGAAAAAATGTTTTTTTGGTATACTATACTCCTTACATATTTGCTCAAAGGTAAGTAGTTTGCCATCTCTGTATACCCTACACATTGTACACCTTTGGTTGCCCAAAGCTTGAAACCACCATCACCTCTACCTGGTGAAAAATCATTGTTTCCCCATATAGGAGAAAAACGAGATAAAGCAGGGATGTCTCCAATATGCTGGTGTACACGATACCAAATGTTGATGACATTTTTAAGAAAAGGATTCTTTGTTTTTTTTCTAAATGTTTTAAAATCTGCTGAATATAGATATAGCTTAAGGGGTAGTTGTTTGCTCAATATTTACCCAAGCTGGAAGAATGTTGCTCAATATTTACCCAAGCTGGAAGAATGTCTGAGCCAAAATAAAACGAGGCAGAGTGTAATTGAGCAGACCAGTAATACCACCGCAGATTTGGAAGACGAAGGCCACCTCTCTCATACGGCAAGTAAAGCAACTTCAATCGCAGCCTAGCTTTTTTATTATTCCAAATGAATTTAGCAAGAATGTTGTTAATTTTATCAAAAAAACATTTAGGAAGCGGGAGTGGGATTGATTGAAAAAGGTACAGGAATCTTGGCAGTATATCCATTTTGATTATATTTATACGGCCAATTATTGAAATTGGCATTACTGTCCAGCGGTTTAATTCCCCTGTTATTCTTTCTGTTAGCGTGTCATAATTTGAAGATACAATAGTTTTGATTTCAGGTGTAATTTGAACCCCTAAATATTTTGCATTTGTAAACGGTGTCTTTATAGTTGGTGTCAGACGTTCATTTTTATTTAAAAATAACAGTGATGATTTAGAGAAATTTATTTTATATCCAGAGAACTCTCCAAATTGTTGAATTAATATGATTAGATTTGGAATACTGTCCTTAAGCCTGGTCAGAAAAAGGATGACGTCTTCGGCATACAAAGATATCCTATATCTTATATATGTTCTTGCTCACCTATCTGGATGCCTGTGAGGCCATCATGGGCTCTGACAGCCATAGCGAGAGGTTCAATAGCTATAGTGAATAGCATTAGTGATAATGGACAGCCTTGTCGGGTTGAACGCTGTAACGGTTTTGAGACAACACTATTGTTCAGCATCTCTGCTACTGGGTTTGTATAGAGAACATGAATCCATCTAAGAAATCCCTCTCCAAATCCAAATCGTGGTAGCAACTTAAAAAGATAGTGCCATTCTATTCTGTCAAATGCCTTTTGGGCATCTAATGACAGTACTGCTGTGTCTTTACCGCCAGCTTTTTCATGTAATATATTAAGGACTCTTCTGATGTTATGGAAACCTTGACGATTTCGTACAAACCCATTCTGATCATTATGTATGAGTTTAGGGAGGTGTGGATCTAATCTTCTTGCTGGCATTTACGAAGTATTTTAGTGTCACTACACATCAGATTGATTGGCCTAAACGACGAGCACTCTGTGGATGGTTTGCCTGGTTTTTGGATGAGGGTTATCAGAGCTAATCTCATAGTGGGTGGAAGAGTTCCTTCCTGGAAGCATTCTTTAAACATATGTAGAAGTGGCTCTACTAATTTAGTTTTAAATGTTTTATAAAATTCTATGGGCAACCCACCCATAATGTCTTACCACTATTCATATTTTGGATTGCTTCTGACAACTCCTCGGCTGTTATATTCCTATCCAATTAATTTTTTATGTCGTCAGATAATGACTGGAACTGAAGCTGATCAAGAAATGTTTCCTGCGCATCTGAGTCTTGGTTGCATTCTTATCTATATAAGGATTCATAAAAATCTTTGAAGCATGTATTTATTTCTAGTGGGTCTATCGTTAACTTCCCTTGCGGTGTCCTAATACTATTTATTGCTCGGTCAGTTTGTTGTTTTTTGATTCTCCAGGCTAAGAGTTTTCCAGCTCTCTCCTTGATCATGGTAGGCTTGCTTCAACCACATTAAACTTTTGGCACTTTCATCTGTGGACATTTTATTATATTTAGCTCTTAACATAAGCAATTTCTTTTGTTTTAAATTATCATCTTTTACATACAGGTCATTTTCCAATATTTTGATTTGATTTTCCAATACCATTTCCATTTTATAGTGTTTTGTTTTATAGCTGGTGTAACTAATAATCTCTCCCCTGATGAACGCCTTAAATGCTTCCCATTTGATACAAGAACTAGTTTCATCAGTATTTAGTGCAAAGAAGCTATTAATTTTAGAGTCAATAGTGTCAACAAAAGCTTGGTCTTGCAGCCATCTCGCCTGGAATCTCCAATTAGGTGGGCTATTGACAATTTTGTCAATTTGGATTTTGAGTGATACAGCAGCATGGCACTTATCACGATACCATTCCTTATCCATGTAAGTCCATGCAAGGTGCCGTCTGCTCATCAGCAATGAACTAATCCCATTTATACACACTCACACACTTTGGGGTTCAGTATCTTGCCCAAGGACACTTCAACCAGCGGACTGGAGGAGTCAGGGATGGAACAGCCAACCTTCTGATTAGTAACTTTGTAAACCCCTAACATTTCCAAAAAATCTAGGTTAAACATTGGTACCAACCAAGGTACCAGACCAGATTTATTCTCTGTAGGTCAGGAGGGTGAATCAGGGATAAATCAGCTCAAAAATCCTCTTTTTAGAACCTTCTTCTCACAAGAAGAGAAAGCTGGCAAGACAATTTATCGCTTCGAAGCACCTTGTTCCAAAAGTGTTGTTGCTCCGCAACAGACATCACAGACATCCTTTGAGAGAGGAAAAATAAATCTTCTTGCGCTGGCGTACTGTATATGTGTGGTTTTGTTGAGGGTGCTTTGTCACATTTTGATCCGTAGTGGGAAGTGTGGGAGCGTGTATGGTATGATGGCAGGCGTGGGGTGACACTGGCACATACAAAGCAGCAGCAAGAGAGAGAGAAAAAAAGAGGACACTGAAGTGGAAGAAAGAAGTAGAGGAGGAAGAGAAACAGTGAAAGAGTCCTGCATGCCAAAAACTGAGCAGAATAACCAGAGGTTTACAAAATTGCTCAGCCGGGTGTAGTATTAAGAAACAACAAACTGGGTGATTGAGAGTCAAGTTATATAAGACCTTTATTCTGCATTTGACATTGTGAGTCAGTAGAAAGGAGGAGGGCACTGTTCTTTAAGAGCTGATAAAGTTGAAGTTTTCTCGCTTCCTGGTCAGCGCAGATAGTTAAAAGAAAGAACAGCAGATACAATTCTATTCTCAGGGTGCCCTGGTAGCTCACCTGGCAGAGCTGGCGCCCCCTGTACAGAGGCTGGGTCCTTGCTGCAGGGGCCATGGGTTCGAGTCCAGGCCCTTTGCTGCGTGTCATTCCCTCTCTCCCTTCCCCTTTCCCTTTCCTGTCTATCTTGAGCTGTCCTATTCCTAAAGGCAAAAAAGCCCCCCTCCAAATATAAGAAAAAACTAAAAACAAAACTGTTTTCTTAATGTAAGAACATATTAGTGAGATAAACTACAATGTGAGAGAAGAGGTACAAGAAGAAACAGGGTTGGGCAATGTTGGGTAAAATGTAATATATTACGCAATAAAAAGTAATTCAATTAGTTTACGATTACAGCAAAAGTAATTAGATACATTATTCTTGTTACTCAGCAAAGCTCTGTCAAAGGCTCCTTCAAATGACACACACATCATCTCCATTTTCAGCACATGTAGAAACGAAAAACGAGACATTGGGGGTTAACAAGCAGCCAGTCGACTGTTTTGGAGTGATTCCCTAACCATTAACAGCTTAGCCCTGCAGGCTGCATAAAATCCTGTCTGGAAGCCAGTGGATTTGCTCTAGGCTTGGAGTTCTGACACAGGAGCTCCTGGTAATGCACACATGATTGTGGTGTGTAATGCTGGCCAGCCACAGCAAATGTGTGTTCAAGTTGGTAGTGTACACACATTCGCAACAAGAACGTGAGCCATAAAACTGCACATTCAAATTGAACACACCTTGAGGCTACCAGCCGTCTCCACCTATTTTATATACAGATAATCATACAGTGATGTGTTGATGCTAAACAAAATGACAAATGCTTCTAATAAATGGAAATTGAGAAGATAAAAATGACTTGAGTTGAGCAGAATGAGGAGAAAAGCGTGTGCTTCACCTGTGGCTGCGGTACGCGTTGAGCAGAATGATAACGAAGCCCAGGCAGTAACAGGCCAGGTAGGGGCTTCCAAAGAGCCTGGAGAGTCTCCGTGTATGATGCTCCCATCTCGCCACCTGACAAACAACAGAGAGACATTAGATGATGGTGTTTCCCTTAAAAATCCCATCGATCAGTTTTGCGGGTGGTTGGTCTCGTTAATATTCAGAGAGGAGCTGAGCAACATTAGAATTTATCTGGAGTCATGCTTCTGTCAACCTGATGACTGTTAAATTCACTATTCACTCTCTTTTGGTGGAAATATCTGGCTCTTCTGCTGCTAAAAACTCAACCAAAACATTATTGTTGTGGGCTGTGAAACCAAAACAATGAGCTGAAGGACAGTAAAGCGCTACGTAAAGCTGGGGTGTATTGCAAACTGGGGTGATAATTATCTGTGGGTTTGTTACTATGAATGACCTCTTTCACACACACAGTCAATCGATCCATTGATAATATCATTTTTTTAATGATCTTTTCTGCTTATGTTACTGTTCACTTTCACTTACCTCCCAGGATGTTTGTTTTATGCTTTGACAAAAAGTTCTCTACCCATTCTTTTGAAAAACTGGCTCCAAGATGGTTGTAGATTTTTCAAATACCTTTTTTTTACTCCTCACAATGGGTTGGGAGTGTGTGATTCATCCGTTTCTTTCATAGTATTTTAAAATGTCAGAAACCTTGTATTCCAACATTTCATAAACCTCAACAGTAATAGCTTCAACATTATCAAAGCACTCTTTCTTCCTGTCAACTGAAGTCTGTAATCACCTCCAGTGTTTAATGTAGTGGCTGGTGAATCGATGTCTTCTCTTTCGTCAGTGTTTGCGCTCATTAGCAAAAGGAAGAGAAAAATAGGGGCAGAGAAACTGACTGACTCCAAACTAGACATCTGACAATGCATTCAGGACTGAGAGCCTATTCAAATGGATGTAAATACTGACTGATTGGACGTCATTGAGTGGATGGCTGACTGAGGGCTGACGAAACACTGTGTTCAGCAAGTACGCATGTCTGAAAGTAGGGTGGAGTGCTTTGTTTTTCTCAGCTACAATGGGCCTCCAAAAATATTGGTCCTTTGAAGGCCTTTCCCTAGCCTGATTGCAAGGCGTTTGCATTATTTTTAGCTTATGGATGTTTAACATGCTGACATGCATGACATGGGCTGACATTTGTTTTCCTTATTTGCTTTTCAAATCTGATCTTAAAATGCCACGTCAAGTGATTGGATTTGGGTATTTGGACAAAGCAATCACTTACAAGTCCTTAAGTAGAGTCATGGAATCATGGAAATGTGTGCTCTTGTAAATGACTTTCCTTTTTAAGCTACTATAATCTGTTTATTTCACAAAAATATCTTTATTCAGATTGGTACCAGTAGTGGGCCAGGTCTACATCGGAAGTTGGTAGAAATCATTGACAGCTTCATTTTCTGTGTTAAATTGTTTTCTACTGCTATTCATACTCCTCATATGTATGCAACTGCTCACAAAATATACAAAGAAAAGAATATTTTCATCATGCACCTGACTTGATATACTGGGCCCAAATAAACAGTTGAAATAGAACAAAAGGTTTTAACATTGGGGAAATACCATACAAGTGCAGAATTGCACTGGGCATTTTTCATGATTTGTATGGTATTTAAAAATGGATGTTGTAATGGTAGGTCAAGTAGTTTTTTTAAATATTGAAAAAAAACTATTTTCAATAAAATTACTCATTGATAAAAAGCAGACCATCTTAGAGCAGCTCATGGGGTCATATTGCATCATTAAAAAACAGTTCTGTATGTAATGTCAGGAGGTACCGATGTACGTTTGGAGTGTCTATGAAAAAAAATTACAAAACTATTCACAGGACATAAAAAAAAGCTCTCTTGGCATTTTGCATGCACTTTTGAAACAGTCCCTAACTTCAGCTCTTCAGTTGCAAGACACCCAGGGTGCCAGGCCTTAATACTGTATCTTAAGGTAAAATAAACACCTATTGTACAGTCTGCACTGGACAACAAATATGGTCCAAACTTGTGAAAACTTGAATATTGAACTTCTACGCCTTTAGCCTATAGCCTGTTTTGCTTGCATTTTAGCAAATCTACATCACAGAATGTCAAGCTGCTTTGGCATTTCCATTAGGACTCTACCGACGATCACCTAGATGACTTTTGGCACTGAAGAAAAAAGTATGAATCTGATGACTTTGCAGCAAGATCTGGAGTTAAAAAAGTGCCTCTTCTCTGTGATTCTAAATGGATTTGGGAATTTTATCCTTGATGGACATTAGGGATCCTCCCACTGTAAAGTAGGAGTTCTGTTGTGAGACATTCGTGACAAATCAATCAAAGTGACAAATCAGGTGACGGGAAAAATGAAATAAATTACTGCAAACATTTGGATGCTGTTTGTATCTGTCATGTATCTGTTCATATTGTTATTATTTATAACAGCTGATCCATAAAAGCTAACCAGGCAGCTGCATTCTCTTGCTGAAGCATGGATGTTTGCAGTTTTCAGCTCTCCAAGCTGCACCATGCACATCCCACAGGGGCCGACAGCAAAAGATCTCATACAAGTGGTCAGAGTTGTATTTTTCCGAGATGCACTTCATTTAAAAAGATTTCAGTCCTGAAAAGCATTTGACCTGTCTGTCCATATTGTGAACCAGTCTGTCTGGTATTATTGACTGAAAGACCGTGGGCTGAGGAAGTGCGTATAAGTATAAAACGCAGCAGAAAAAAGGGCACAAATGTTGCCATGGCAGCACCTTTTCTATGTTCAGGAGAGGAAAGATGGGAAAAAAGAAGGGAGATGAATAAAGGTTGGAGGGGAAAAAACTTTATACGGTGAGAGAACAAAGAAAGTCAGGGCTTTATAGCAGTTCTTTTGCACCATATGTCAGCTGCAGCTGCCAGCAGCTTCATCCTTAATGTCACCTTTCGTCCCTCTTTTCTCTCTATTGCCACACCAAGGGAAGAAAACTGCTATGTAATTAAAGTTTTTTTAAGCGCTTCTGTGACTCAGACTAAGGTTACGTCCCAATGTTGATTAAATTAGTCCGCTCTGTAGGACACTGGGACACAGCGAGCCAGAGACAAACAGAACAATAACAATGGAGGGAATAATGATAAGAAGTTGGTGAATACAGAGGTGAAAAGATGAAGTAAAGCATTTTAATCTTGGTATGTATCATTTTAAATGTGCACACTGTTATTTGGACAGCAAATACTGAATTTACTGTTAACACTTATTTTCCTGAATCTAGTCTTCTAGTCGGTTCCTGAATTAGACCAAAAAAACAACATAACCCTAAGTTGTCCCTTTGGTGTTTTTTATCCATTTTAAGAAGGACATTTTAGTGCTGTTTCTTCAGCATTAGTAAGCTACTCTGTCTGACGTTTAACCCTAGTTCTATTGCTCAAACCTAACCAACCAAACCAACAAAAACAATGAACACTACCCAATCAGGGAGAGGCGGTGGTACGCAGTAAGAAGTAAGGGTACTGATATAGACAAAAATCTGAAGTGCCGGTAGAAGTACCCGTGAGTACTGGTCCATTTCAGGCACTGCTTCTAATTTATCAAGATATTAAACATTAGCTCGCTAGTTATTTGGTCAGCTAACATTGAATGCACCTTTCTGTTAATGCTTTTCCCCTAGTCCAGTCAAGATATCGAGCTAACATGAGGTACTGTTACCTTTCTGTTGGCGTTTTTTCTACTTATCTAGTCTTCAAGTCTATCAAGATATCGAGCTAACATTAGCTATTGTTAATTGGTCAGCTAAAATTGAATGTGTCTTTTTTTTATTAGCACGTTGTCTCCTCAAACTAGACTTTTGCGTTTCTCCACGAGTTAGTTAGCAGGCTACGCTACATAGCATTTTTTGTTCACAGACATTTTGGATAATCTTTGTTTAGCTCATAAGTTTTTTTTTTTTTTTTTTTTTTTTTTTTTTTTTTTCAGAGAGGTTTTAGGCGATAACAGTGTTGTTAATGTGGTATTGGACAGCATTTTACTGCTTCATAAAGTTCTGCCCATTCCACACAAATATAGATGGAAGACAGCAAGACCACACAATTATTCCGTCTCTTTTAGATATCAAAAAAATATTATTACACCACAGTTAAATTGTAGCCTTTGTAAAAGAGTTAGTACTGAGTTAGAAAAAAGCACAAAAAACATGTCTAGTATCACACTGTTAATGTACATATCTACGGAGCTCCTGAGAAGCCCATAACCAATGTTTTTCTTCCATTCATGTTTTTCTTACTCCCCCATGTCCCCCATACTTATCACTTCCAGACACATTTCCAAGTGTATCAAATGTTAAAAGACATAACAAAAGATGTGGCAGCCAGGTAATACAAGAATACAGTAGGGAGGAGGTACACAATGTACAATTCAAGCACCCTCAACAACACTGCTGCTTTGGCTGCAACTGAAGGTGAAAGCATGAAAGTATGAAAGTAAAATAGAGAAATGGTTTGGAAAGAGATAGTGTGTGCTCACCACGTATATAATGAGAGGAATAGGAAATTGCTTGCAATATAAAATGCATTACTGTACACCAAGAGACCAACAAATAGGTGGCTTAGGGGTGGGTCCATGTGAAGGGTGATGTATTATTCTGTATTATGTATTATGTAATCGCACATTGTAAATATAATAAACAAAAACCTTACAGGATGACTGGGTGAGTGATTACAGCATAACCAGTCAATCAAAATACAATGAAATGATACTGCAATGAGAATTAAATGTGATGCATTTGTTGCTTGGGTGAGAACACATACTGCATGCATACAAATGTGATGTGACAGATGTGGAATTATTTGATTAATTCTGTGCATGCAGCTGTATGTGATTAAAGAAGGCTGTTTTATAATTAACGTAGAATTTTGGATACTGCACAGGCTGCTGTGAACTAAAAAAGACACTCTTTGCACTTACTGTTTTCAGTGACACTTCATCGCATCTCATCTCCTACAAGAGGTTTTATTTTGAGAAACACATATGGTTAATTTGAAACCCAAGAACACATCTTATTACTCTGTGGGAAACATGCCAAGGACCCT